CTCGGCCCTGAAGTTGCTGGACCCCATTTACCATCTGGGGCTTCTGCTCTGCACCGATGCTTTTCGCACTTCTCCAGTCCAGAGTTTGAACACTGAGTCCCACGAACCTTCTCTTCACTTCCGTCGTTTGCAACTTTCTTTACAATATGCAACTAAGCTTCGATCCTTACCATAGCATCCCACCTGTGATTGTGTTTTTCTTCCTCGGTGGGCAATGCTCTTTCAGAACAGACGGTCTGCTATTCCTCCATTTGGCCTTCGTTTCCGGGCATTACTGGCTGAATTGGGTCTGGCATTGGATGACATTGCTGTCCCCAATGATCAGCTCATTCCACCATGGCTTATTACCATCCCATTGTGTGACCTTTCCTTGAGTCATCTGGGGAAGGCGGATACTCCCAATTGGAAGTACCGTCTTCTTTTTGCTGAACTTCTTTCGAACCATTCCTCTCTTCCCATTTACACGGATGGTTTGAAATCAGGTGACTCTGTAGGTTCTGCTATGGTTTGCTGTGGTCTGGTAGTTGCTCGCAGGATTCCCTCTACAGTTTCTGTGTTCATTGCCGAGTTATATGCTATTTCTCTTGCCCTGGATCATGTAGAAGCTATGCAGTACAGTAATTGTACCATTTACACTGATTCTCTTATCTCTCTACTGGCCCTGGAATCGCTTAACGTTAGTTCTCACCCTGTTGTCGTCGATATTCAACACCGATTGGCCCACTTTTCGCTATCTTCTATTTCCATCCAGTTTTTCTGGATCCCTGGCCATGTCGGTATTCACGGGAACGAGCTCACTGACACCGCAGCTAAGTCCATCTGCTCTGGTGCCATCATGGCCGTGCCTGTCCCATACATGGACTATGGTCCTGTCTTTAAGGCGCGGCATCGTGCCAGTTGGCAGTCGACTTGGAGTGAGTAACGCCATAATAAGCTTTTCCAGATCAAACCTTCTGTTGGTCTTTGGCCGTCTTGCTTCCGTAAGGATCGGAAGGAAGTAGTAGTCCTGGCAAGGCTACGCATTGGTCATAGTTTTTTAACCCATCGTTTTCTTTTATCGGGTATTGACCCACTGATGTGTATCTATTGTGACACTCAAGTCACAATAGCCCACATTTTACTGTCATGCCGTCGTTACGACCATGAGCGGCAGCATCATTTTAGACAGATTTTATCTAAAAGTTTACCCCTGACGCTGGACAGTGTCGTTGGTAATGGTAACACTGTCCGATTAGGTTGTATTTTTAATTTTTTACACACTATAGGTATTTTTAATTCTGTATAAATCTTTTATCGGCATATATTGGTTTTAACTCGCTGTATTTTTACATTTTACTTTCTTTGTTTTTACCGGTTGTTTGGTGCAGATAGCCTTGCTGCTTTGCGCCATAAAACACCAACCAACCAACCAACCTTACTGCCAGAGTGCCAAGAGTTTTATATAAAGTATAGTTTGTATGTCAGTGATCGAATTATGTTTATTTTATGCCATTGATAAATATAGTTTAGTTTTAACCAATGTTTTTAACTATCTAAAGTTATTTATTGTTGTTTCTTAATTAGTAAAAGAAGAGAAAGGTCTTCCAGTATTTTCTCTAATGACCAAACAGACATGAGAAAAGTAAAAAAAAAGACTGATGATTTGTTTAACTATTATTATAATACTGTATTGTCCACCAGTATCTTTGCAAAGATGTTCATTGAATGAAAAATTTGATGATGATTCTGTTTTTTGTTTTTTTAGAAACATTATCATAATTTCATACCATATGAACATATTTTATTATAAACATTTGTATATTTTGCTAAAATTTTATGTGATATTTACAAAACATAACTATTTTATACACACACTGGAATCTTTACTTAAAGGTACAAGTGAAGTTGTTATAAAGGATTTAGTAGCTCATACCTGTCTCATTTACTTTTTTTCATTAATGTGAGCCTTCAAAATAACTAATTTCACTACCATATACTGTTGAACAGATCAAAGTGCCAGGGACTTTGGAAAATGTAGAGCATTAAATAAAATAAGTGATAAATATTTAATATCAAGGAGTGAGAGAAATCTGAAAAATACTAAAAAAATGCTATAAGAATAAATTTATCAAAGTTTTTGCCACATATGTTTTTGTTTTTTTTTGCTGAAATTACGTTATATAAATAAAGTACCTTAAAAAATAGTTGAACATAATCCGAGAGTTGTTATATACAAAATCTTTATTTAAACAAGTTCATTTTTGAAATTGTGTAGTACATTTTGAAAAATACTTTGAGATCTTTAAATATTGAGTTGTCAAAACTTTCCAAGATCATCCACAAGAGTTTTACTGGTGGAAAAAAAATAAAAGCCATTAGTGATAAATTTGTATAGGCTTTTATTAATTTTTTTTAGTTTTTTTCATTTATAGTGCATAAAATGTCAAATAACCAAGTGATGTAGACAAAAACTGTCTGTTTTCTGTTTCTACAACAGATGTGAAAGGTTTAACAATGACCTCATATGTTGAAACTCTCCGAGAAAAAGTGTATGCAGCCTTGGAAGAATACTGTAAACAAAACTACCCAGAGCAACCAGGTCGTTTTGCCAAGTTGCTTCTGCGTCTTCCAGCTCTCCGGAGCATAGGCCTCACCTGTCTGGAACATCTATTCTTCTTCAGGCTAATTAACAACACACCTATTGACGATTTTTTGATGTCGATGTTGGAAGTACCCTCTAACCCATGATTGTTACTTGTATAATATGTTTAGGTGTTTTTCAAGCATTTGTTCCTCTTTTCCTTCAACACACAAGTTTTCTTACTAAATTCTTTGTCATCAAGTGTTTGGAGCATGTATACAGGCTTTTAGTGGTAGGAGATATGATAAAGTTCATTTTCACAGAAGTGCAAGTGCGAAAGGATTTGTTTGTACCTTTATTTTGTAGATGTGTTACGAGAGTAGTATTAAACCAGATAATGTAGGTTAAAATAGTTACTGTTTTATCCTTTATCACTGTAGCAAACCAGATATAATAACAGAAATATACAGTATATTTTAGCTTGCAGTTTGAAGATTACAATGACCACATTTAAGCAAGTGCTGTACTTTTAAATATTTGGCATGTATAACATAATTACTGGCTTAAGTGTGGTACAAAATAGTTCAATTTGAAACATTTTTTGTAACTTTTGCATGCTGATTTCCAGTACACTTAACCCATTGACTGCAGCTGCTCTAAATGCAAGTGGAATGTTTGCAAGCCATACACTCACATTCAACTGCCGGTACCCTGTACAGCGACTCGGCAGTCAGTGGGTTAAATAATCAGTAAGTCCTTTCTTTACTAGAGAACAGTTGTTGTAAAAAGGTTTTAATTTATTTTTTCTCTGTTTTTTAGAAATGTAAGAAGTTAGAATTTTAGGTTGTTAAAGACAATCACAGTTAAAGAAAACTAAATTATATTTGATGTAAAAAAATTGTTTTTCTATAAAACATTATATTTATATTAAACCTTATCATAAAGAATTCAAGATTAAAAGGAAAGTAGTGTTAGGAAGGGATTAATTACCTCTGCTTCAATCATTTTTTATTATTTTGTTAAATGAAATTACTTGGCTTTGATAAATGTCAGTAGTTTTAGAATAAGAAGTATGATAAAACACAAAAGTTAAAATTGTGACTGTTAAATGAGCCAATATGAAGAAGGTATCAATAGTGTTTGCCCATTCAAGCTTTGACAACTTTGACTTTTTATATAGTGTACCATATCTCAAGGTAGAAATATCACTTATAATGGACATGGAACTCCTCTGTTCTGATTACATTTGGCAGTAACTTGCAATTAAAAAAAGTTATCTTAAATGTTTTTACACACTTTTTTTCTTTCATAGGCACCTGTATTGGGATATCTAAGAATACGTGTTAAAAAGTAATAGTAGTCTATTATTATAATGTTTCTTCACACTTTTTAGTGTGGAAAGGGTCATGTCTTATCAGCTTATATACAAAGTAATAGCTAAAGCACACTATTATAATTTGAAACTTAACACTGTAGATATCCAACCAGATGACTTTTATTCCTGAAAACCTGTAATGTATGCGTGTAAAAAAGAAAACCAAGAGTACAAGTTGACTTGGTAATATATCACTATTTTTTCTAAAGATTATATAGTTTGGAGATCTGTGTTTGGCTAAATATATATAATCCATTTTTTGTTTGTTTTTTAATGCTTTGTATTTTTGAAGGTAACTTGTATGTTTTTATTCTTTTGAAGATTGTATTATAACTTATAACTAGAATAGAATTATTGTTTATAGTGTATAAGAGATAAACTAATGAGCTATTCTCACTCTTAATCTTTACATTATTTAACACTTTCTTTTTAATGATGTATCTGTATTGTTGTCTTTTATCAATGTTTCTGTGATCATATAATGTCTTGGCAGGTAACAAAAGGTTCATTACTCTAAGACAGGCACATAATTTATGAATTCTTTAATTTTGATTGATAGTTCCAAGTTTGTTAGCACTGATTGTAGCACCTAGGATTTTCTTTAAATTTAATTTTACATTTAAGTGATACACAAAAGTAATCTATTCTGACTTCTTCAGCCTAAACAAGAAAACTGAAGCCATTATCAGCTCATAATTTCACTTATTTTCAAGCACTGAATGTTGTCTCCCAGAATTTGATGATTTCCCTAAACTTCCTCACTGCCACATTTCTAGATAAATATAAATAGACACATCTTTTAATCTTTCATTACATATTTGAAACTGGTAAACTTAGAGAATTTTGAAGATAAATTATACCCTTTCTTCATGGTGTACAAAACACCAAGCCCACATGTGATTAATGTCACATTTTTTATGGCCAAAGCAAAGGTTATATAGTACAACTCATGCATGTGGCCATGGCAGTACTATGGGGGGGATGATATATATATATATATGTGGCCATGGCCGTGAAAGAGTTTAAAATATCTGTGTTATGTAATGGAATACATTCTTCCTTTGTGAGGATGCTGTATTTTTGTTATAATAATAGTTATTTTTGGCTTATGTACATTAAGAAGGTACTGCTATTGGTTGCATAGAGTACAAGAAACATGCTCTTATTGAATACTAGTCAAATTGTTTTACACAAAAACTTCTCTTTTTGTATGTAATTATCTGTGCATGAAATTCCTAGGTTTTTGTTACTATGTCAGATATATTTTAGTTACATGTTATTTTTAAATACTTATGCTATATATTTCGGGGGCATAGCCAGAATATCATATAAGTACTAAATGTTTTTTGATTGGAAGATGTTTAAATATAGTTTCTGTATTGTTGCTTTTTTTATTTGCAAATCAAAAGTTTGAGATGATTGGTAAATAAAGGAAAGGGAAAAAATATATTATCCATGGTTTTAAATTGAACAAAAAATATATTATGGTGTTTTAAAACATAATTTTTAGAAATCACTATTTTTTATATATTTCAATCTTGAAGTGCCATTCAGTGTGATATTTGTTATATGTGATTATTCTGCATAAATAGAAATAAGCAACTTAGTAGGTTTATTAAAGTATTTGCGAAGAGTTGTTAGTATTAAAGTGAGTCATAATAAACTAACAAGCATAACATAGACTCAGAGGTGCACAACATACGGCCCACAGGCCAAATTTGGTCTACCAGCTTATTTTATACAACCCATGACACAAAATTATAGTGTGCAAAGTTGTAAGTTTTTTGTTTTTTTTAATTTGATGGAAATATTTTTAACTCCCAGAGAGCGTTACCAATTGCATTCATTAATTTTAATCGCCATTTCTCTATGGCATTACAGAATACTGTTTAAGTGGAATACAGTTTCATAAAATAATAAATTTAATGCAATTTGTTTGTTCACATCTCATGACGTGGTCAGTGTTTTTTTTTTTTTTCGTATTTATAGAATTATTAAAAACACCCATTTTTATATGTTATCAAATTTAAATAAAAGTTTCTGCATCACAATTTAATAGAAATATTGTTAAGTATTTAAATTTGGTAGAAATACAAAGGGCTCAAAATGGCCCACCAAGTCTCAATCACATTCCAAGTTGGCCCAACAAAATATTGTGTTGTGCACCCCTGACATAGACTAATGTGTACTTGAAATGTTTTCAAATTACCTGTATAAAATATTTCTAAGATTATGTTCCTTCATAGGGTTTTCAAGAAACCATATTGTCGAGCCATATTATATGTTTAACATACCGCATGGAGAGTGCTGAAGTGACATTTTGTCAAGCATAATGCCCCATGCCCCAACAACTAAAGTGTTTTATCAGAGCATTTTTCTATATCAGGAGGAGCAAGTAATGGATTTGTACTACAAATATATAAAAAAGCCTTTCTGCTAAATGAAATTAAGTGTGAAATTAATCAAATGTTTTTTTTTTATACAAAGCAATATTTTGTAACTTTTAGATGTAAGTAAGGAGAACTTTACTGCTTAATGTTTTTGAAAAGTACTTTGAAATATTGAATATTTTAAGATTGGCAGTACTTGCAAGAATTTGTTATTACCACATACATCATAGCCTTATAATATATATGTTTATATGTCAAACTACAAGCTGCTGTATTTACGATAAACCACATATATGTACTTCAGTAGCTTTTTATAAAATTGGATATGAACATGTATAACAGAAAAAAACTAATTACTGTAAATGTGCTGTGGCATTTCAGTAAAATATTTGATATTACCTGATGATATTGAATAAACTGACACTTAATAACTGGCTACGCCCCATGTTTCTTTGAAAATCATCTATATTTTATAATGTTTAAACTTTTAAGTAGTTAATTAAGTAAATATGTTTTTCTGTGTATCATGTTTGTATTAGTATGGGATATTGTGACACCAATGGTGTAGGAAGGGGAGCCAGCCCCCCTCACTTTTCAACCTGTCCCAGTAAAAATGCATCAAAATTAGGAAGATTACTCTCGAGAAAAGCAGGAGAATGCAAAAAATTTAATCCAGAACCCAAGAGCTTCCAGATGTAATGGGTGTGTCTATGGTACATATTCCTTCACTTTGTTGGTCAAATAAACCTTGGGCCCCCACTTTTAATTTTCCTCCTACAACTTTGGTGATATAACACAATTGTTATGTATTGTCTGTATTTCACAATATAAATGGTATAATTATAACTCTAAGCTCAAACTACATTCCATTTGTTTTCTCTCTACTGCCAAGATGAATTTATTGTATTTGTTATGAACTTTCTCACAACCAAAATAAAGTTTTAAAAATCTAATTAGGTATTAAAATATGTTAGGTCTGCTTGTACATGTTGCTGTTTACATCTATCAAACATTTTTATTTAATCATGTGTTAACACAAAAAAATATATATAATCAAATTGTGATAGGTATTTCATATTGAGGAAGTTTCCAAGAAACAAATGATGTTTGATTACACCACTTTTATCTATTTAAGTATTAGTACAAGCATAGCCACATTATCTGTTGCACCTGAGCCCAAGAACCCTTATCCTAAAGAGGCCCAGAAAAAAAAAAATCAACTGTATTCTATGTTCACATTCTTGCATAAGTGTCTTTATTTTGTTTTCAACAATAATGTCTTTAATTTAAATTTTGTATTTTAGCCCTAAGAGAATGGTGGCTTAACTCAAGCTAACTTTGCTTTTTATTTTTGTCTTAGCTTGATGAATCAATTCACTTTCCTACTATTCAATAGAAACATTTTAACATAATATAATGTTTAGGGACAACAAGGGACCTATTGGTCTATCTAGGCTGTCCCATCCTGTAAACTAAACTAAAACTATTGGAAAAAAACAAACTCAAAACCAGCCCTTATCATTCATATAGTTATCAAGCTTTTTTTTTAAACTCACTTAAATTGACTGCCTCCAAGACATCTGAAGGCAACCCATTCCAAAGACTAACAACTCTGTTAGAAAAATAGAACTGCCTTAGGTGAAGATAACTTCTTTCCTGACAAAATTTATTTCTGTGTTCTCTAGTCCGGCTATTCTCACTGTTAAGTATGAAAAAAAAAGATGATGCATCAACACTATTAATTTCCTTTACAAGCTTGAACATCTCAGTCAGATCCCCTCTAAATCTTCCTTTTAAAGAGAAAACAATTTGAGAGATTTCATTCTCTCTTCATATGACAAACCTCTCCATCCCAGGCACTATTCTAGTAGCCCTCCTCAGAACCCTTTCCAACAATTTAATGTTCTTCTCAAAGTAAGGAGCCCAAGACTGAATACAATACAACAAATGTGACCTAACCATTGACCTATACAATGGAATTATAATTTATTTAGACTTGTATTCATTATTTCTGTAGGTGCAACCTAAAATCCTATTTGCCCTACCACTAGCAACAGCACACTGCTTGAATG